TTGCGTAGGTCTTGAGGATCAGAACCTGAGATTAAAACTTTGACAACTCTGATATAGGAACCCTATTGAATATAGAAGCTAACACGCACGAATACACATATTCATACAATCGAGCAAAATTAACAGGACCAGTATGAAAGAAAATTAGCCAAGCCACTCTATATCGATCTATATAGGTTTTAATTTTATTTTGACTTAATTGAGTCTATATAAGAGGTAAGATAGAGCCGGATAGTTTTCTTGCTTTAGTGTTAACGTGAGACATTTACAAGAATGACACCCAGCTCTGATGATGTCCATCATATGATGGACGAAAGCTCAGCACGTTTTCACCTCAAACGATGGAGGAAGTCTTGTGGACTGCGTCAAAATGCATATCGTATAAAAGCCAAACGGATGCAGTACAACGAGATTCATTCGTCCTCATCTGGTGAGATCGACCAACGATTCTCTTCTTCATTCACTTTCATGCCCACTGAAAGTCCCCCTAATAATATTAAACAAACAGTTACTTCTCGATAGACATCTTACATCCGTTATATTATCTGCAGTCTAACGGTCATTTTAATCATTAAACGCATGTTTGAGATTGAGGCACGCTCTCGAGGTACCAGATAAAGCTAAATATAGTCGCATATTTATTCCAACCTGAACGCTTTTTAACAAATCCGGCTATCCCTTCTATTTTTTATGAGTTATTTAAATGACCTGTGCTTATTTTAACACAGTAATTTATAGGCAATTTATAGGTATTGCTATGGTCGCCCAAACGCCAGGTTACTTAGCGCTCGTGCTAATGTCCACATTTTCGCATACTTTATCTCCTCAGGGCTCTGAACCCAACCATTTTTTTGGCAGGAAAGTGGCAAAGTCCATATTCTTTTTTAGGTCAGCATGATAAACGATATGCCTTATCTTTTTTTAAAATAACCGTTAAAAACTTTGCTCTTTACCATGCATTCTTTTTTAGTTATGTTTGAGCTTTTGGTTGAGATTAACTGTGTTCTTCCCTTGCAAATGTTGACATTTATAGAGTGGTTGTAATTATCAGGCTGGAGAAAACGATGGATGTCTAGCTATAACCGCCCTAAAATTGTTCTCTGATTTTCAGGCTGACCTCTCGGCTTGACGTGTCCAGAGCACCAGCTTGAGGATGAACTCTTCTGTTTCGTCCTCAAATTCACCCTGTCTCTCCCGAAGGCTGGTAGATCCGGGAGTTCTCCGATCGGAGTCCTCCACTGTGCGACCTACGTATCTCTATCCGAGCATCTCATGGACACGTGACTTGAAATCATCAACATCGAGCCTCTTCCCCACGGAGCAGAGTGCAAGTTCCACCATCTCTGGCACCTCGGACATTATTGCTCCTATTAACTCCATGCCTCAGGAGCTTAGCTCCTCGCTTTCCTCGTCCTTACAGTCTTATGTCGTCGCAGTCAAACAGCCAAGGCTTTATCTGAACGACCAGTGCCAGCCGATCCAGGACAAACCAAGCCGGCCAAGATCTCATCCGGCTCACACCAACACGGTCTCTTCCCTCAATTGTCCCGAGGGCAGAGGCCACATCGGGTTGGTTGGGAAAAAAGGGCACCAGCAGCAGCCGAAGCAGAGGGAGGAGGAGGAGGATAAAGAGGAGGAGGAGGAGGAAGAAGAGGGGGAGGGAGAGGAAGAGCTTGGTTATGGAGATGAAGATGAAAACGAGGATGATAGCTATGATAAGGAGGAATGCGAACGACCTGTCACTTTTGGTTGTGGTGCAGACGGTCTAGGCGAACAAAAGTCAACTGGTTTGGATGCTTATAAAATCTACAGCAATGCTCAACCCTCGAATGACATGAAAACCTTCGGCAGTGCTCTTTCCACCGGAGCTTCTGTCAAGGCCAGCAGAGACGAGGTCAAACCTGCTGTTAAGCCAGCGCCTGTCTTTCCGCATGTTTTTGCCGTCGAAAGGTCTGGGGAACAGCCAATCTTGCTATCATGCGAAAAGGAGAAGCGCCAGCGACGGTTAGGCAGAGGTCGAGAAAAAGAGAAAGCGAAAGAAAAGGCCAGGGACAAAGAATCGGAACGTGAAAAGGAAAGTGGCACTGGAAGCTTCACCGGCAGGTCAGGCAAAAAGGGAGCTTTTTCCAGCAAAGGACAGTTGAGGCACCAGGAGTCTTCAGGTGGACTATGACACACTGCATGCGTTAATTTTGCCTACTTGATCGTGGGTGCATAAAGCATTTTTGCACACTTATTTGATAATTTCTCCTTTCAATTAGAGAGTATTTAAAGTAGCAAAATAACAGTCAGCGTCGGGAATCCATGGAATGTCAACTTGGGTGCATCAGGTAATAGTGGGTCTAACGACCAAACCATTCTTTCGCGACCTATGCCCAAGTGAGTTGATGCTTAATTCAGGAGATTCCACGAAATCCAGTTACGCTTCATATCTATAATTCACTTGAGCATAGTCAATCTATGAGGCAGAATTGGTAGACCAACACTTTTTGGCAGACTTAAAAGACCATTAACCCGGAAATTGTTGAGTAGAGAGCCACTCGTAATTTTCAGTCCCATAAAATGCATGCAGTCTATTTTGCAGGTGTTGACCTAAGATGTACATGAAATAGTTAGCATGACTGCTAACGAATTCGTGGAATTAACTCATGGAAAACGATGGGTTTGGCTTTTTGAATAGGTTTTCTCTGCATTCAACTTTTTTAAGATACAATTCTCTGCTCGAACTTCTTGATTATGTACATGTGTATGCATGCTGTAGAAGCATAATTACTACCCTATTTAATTCCTGCAAATAAATATCTATTTTTCGTGCTTGAGTGGAGTTTCGAGACTACCAGTAAATCAGTAATATGAGATATATTCACCCTATTTCGTTTAAAGTAGTCGAATTTTCCCACAATGATGAGCTGATGTTTCCATTGAATTTCACATAGCCTTGCTTTCCCAAAAGTTGTTCTCATCCAGGGTGGACTGCAGTTTTGACCTCGCATCGGTCTTATCAACATCCCCAGCGGGACAGTGCAGTAAATCAGTAATATGGGATGTATTCATCCTACCAATCGTTCGTCACCTTAACCGAAATGGGGTGAATACATCTCATATTACTGATTTACTGTTAGTCTCGAAACAATACTTAAATGCGAAAAATAAAGTAACGTAGTCGATTGTTATAGCAAATATAC